CAACCTCCCCGGCACCACCCTTTTCACCCGGTCTCGTTTGGTTACAGACCTAAATTAAAATGTTCGCCATCGGAATAGCCGCGCGTTAGAAGTGCTAATTGGTTATATACTAATAAAAACAAACATGGCTTGCAATTCGATCGACATCGCAATCAGCCGATTACAATCTTTTGAAAGGAGTAACAAAAGTAAAGGCACTGTGTTATTCGGGAATGGTTTGGACATCATATGTTTCAAACATCATGTGTGTATGTTTAGTAGGTTTCCAGTTTCCATAGAGGTTAATGAAGTATTTATTGATTTAAGTACAGAGGTAATGAGCCGCCTGGCAGGTAGGCAACAACGCCCAGTAAACCCGTATGGCGGGTTGGCCTACCCTACCCAGTTTCAGGTGCTTGTAGAGGAAAAAATAGGCATTTTATTCAAAACAATTCTACCATCCCAAGTCCTTAACTTGTATTTGCGTATTTGATGAATTTTGTATGAAACATGGACCATGTGAAGCGACTATTTTTGTCGCAAGCACTCTTGTCGAGCATCGACCCCGACTAGTGCCGTCGTGTGATATTGAGTGAAGGGGACGCGCGCTCGCCGCTCTGGGTGACAAACGGGTGGTTTGTTGTGGCGGTGAACATCCACGCGGGTGATAAAAACGGCTGTACTATACTACCTTTTTTCCTCATCATAGAATAGCCTCCTTTTATCCCGATCTATTTCTGATTTCAGGCGGACGTGGAGGGTGTCGGGGGCGATCGCCGGGCCAGCGCCACCCCTGCCCGCGGAGGCTGAGGACCTGGGCGTCTGGTCGTGGAGGTGCCCGCTCCCGGGGGCCGGCTCCGGGGCGGGCACCGACCTCGAGCTGCCGGTCGAGGTGGAGGAGGCCGGGCGCCGGGTGCGCTTCTACCGACGGGTGTCGTGCGGCTCCGCCTCGGCCAGGATCACCCGGCCCGTCAACAACGGCCGCTTCTACTGGGAGCTGCACCTGGGCGACCGCATGTTCGGCACCTCCATCATGGTGGGCGTGGGCACGGCCGGCGTCCGCACCAACACGACGGGCTACAAGAACCTGATCGGTGAGTCGTGTCATGTCTGCCAAGCGCAACCACGCAGTGGTTTCGTCTGGTCTACAACTCCAACATATGTGTTATGCACACTCTTAAGTGAAATGTTTCAACTGGGAAGTATATCATACGGCAATCGAGAAACAGGAAATAGGGGCTCTGAAACTTATCACTCTGGGATGGGATCCTGAGGATTGTCCACTGACCGGTCAACACCAGCAAAACAACAACCTAACGCGTGGAAGTATTTGAAAATCCCGCACAGAGGTGATCGAACCATATTAGGGATCGCCTGGAAAGTACGCCTGTTTTTTCTCAGATTCATTCGGCAAATAGAGGAGCTCGGCGCCTGCGAGACTCGGGGTAGACCACACCGCAGTACATGCATGTCGTGCAGGCTCGATGTTGCCTACCTACTAGGGGTTATGCGAGTCTGAAGGGGCTGAACTTGGCAAAGGTTCGTTACGGCGAATGACGGACGTACTTTCTGGATGCTCACTTCGGGATTAGTTGGCTTTTCTCTTAGGGCTTGGACCGGCGGCTCAGAGTTAGGATGCGCTATGAGTCGTCGTTCCTCGTCCTGGCCAAACTCAGCTAGTTAGGCCAGGGTGTTGTCCTACACAGTTAAACCCTTACGAAGCAAAATGCCAAAGCCTTCGTACCTACGAAGGATTTGCTACCTACGAAGCTTCCAAATAATTCGTAAGGTTTTAACAGTGTACTACCGCAAGTGTATACAACATCCGTTCCGTTACCAGTGAAATAGAAAGGACTGTCCGACCCGGAGATGATCCTTTTTCCTTTGAGCACCACGACGGTTGTCCAATGAATGCTTTTGGGGATCACCCCGTTTCTATGCTTAGGAGGCCTCAATGTAAAAACCGTTTTCCCGTAGTTGTGTCTGTGTGGCGCGTCTTCCTGTGACCTGGAGGGAGTTTGAGTGCCGCTTCTGGACTGGATAGGCCCTTGATTCTCCCCGTCGTTAAAAATAGTTGTGAATTAATGATATTTCTGCTGATGACTGTTGTTTTAAAATGAGACAGTTGTTTTCAATCAAATACGGAAACTTCACTTAAATGTAGTCTGACCATTGAAGAACCATGTGCAGTTTATTCTCTTCTAGAACTATATTCTCCGTGTAGTTCCGTAGTTAACTTTTAAAGTAAACCTGAGAATGT